TGTGTGTGTGTTTATATGCTTGAACTTTTCTGCTTTTGTATTTTCTTACATTGAGTTGGAGGAAGGCAGCTAGGATGCCTTGCAGTCTGTTCCCAATCCATGTGGTTTTGTTTGTTTGTTTTAACTCAAATCAGTTTTTTTTTGGCAGTGGTGGTGGCTGTTCTTGAGAGAGTCTTACCAATCCTCCTATTTCAGCCTCTCAAGTGCTATAATTATAGATCTGAGCCATGATGCCAGCCTTTGTTTTTGTTTTCTAAGAAGAAGTTTTGCTATGTAGTCCTGTCTGGCCTGGAACTCACTGTTGACCAGGCTAGCCTTAAAGTTGTAGGAAATCTTCCTGACTCTACCTCCCAGGTGCTAGGGTTCCAGGCATGTGCCACCAACCATATCCACTTTGTTCGTTTGTTGTTGTTGTTGCTGCTGTTGTCATTTTTGGTTTTGGTTTTCTGAGACAGGATTTTTCTGTATAGCCCTGGCTGTCCTGCAACTCTCTCTGTAGACCATTCTGGTCTCAAACTCAGGGATCCTACTGATGCGGCTTCATGAGTGCTGGGATTAAAGGCATTCACCACCCTGCCCAGCAAGATCTGTTTTATAAAAGTGCTATTTTTCTAAGTTCTTGCCAAAAGGCTAGTACAACTGCCTTTGGCATAGCCAGATAAAAGTTACATTTCAACCAACTGGTGCTTATTAAATACTCCTTAATGAAAGTGCCTTGCACATGGAGAGACACGGTTCTTACTGTTTGTTTAAAGTGTCCCTGAACTCAAATTATACCAAGTACACAAGAAATAGCTTTATTCTTACATATTTTTGCTTAAGGTCAAGAGAAAGATATAATATAGACCATAGTTGACAGAGGAGGACAGTGAAGGTTCTTTTGTTTTGTTTTGTCTTTGTTTTTTGGGGACAGAGTTTCTCTGTGTAACCTTGGCTATCCTGGACTCACTCTGTAGACCAGTCTGGCCTTGAATTCACAGCAATCCACCTGCCTCTTTCTCCCTGAGTGCTGGGATTTCAGGCACGTGCCACCGCCACCGAGCCTGGCTTCAGTGAAGGTTCTTATACATAGAATAATCTAGAGTAAAGAACTTGACTTTGCACTTGGCCTCTGGGAAGCGATCCATGTCATAGCTGATAGTATCTGCTTCCCATGCAGACTTTGGGCAACACGGTATCAGTCACATGAAGGCTGAGATCAACCAGAGGCAACCAAGCCAATTGCTACAACCAAAGCTTGGTGTTGGTGAATTCTGGCTGACAGTGCGCCCTGTGTGTTGTTGCCACATATTGAAGCCGGACCAACATGTTCTGCCTTCACAGGGAGCAAGATCTCTGCATCTGAAAACATCTCTATGCCTAGACTCTGCATTAGGCATCTCTTTCTGTTGACGACTTTAATCTATACTCCTTCTTTGCTTAATAACGTATAGAACTATTGTCAATGAGTAGTATATGTATTTCTCCCCCACCCTTTTTTTTGTTTTGTTTTGTTTTTCGAGACAGGGTTTCTCTTTGTAGCCTTGGCTGTCCCAGACTCACTTCGTAGACCAAGCTGGCCTCGAACTCACAGAGATCCTCGTGAGTGCTGGCATTACAGGTGTGCGCTACCTGTATATGTGTGTGCTGTATATGTATTTCTAGTGAATCATTGATGGCTTAGGGAAACTTCTGAACGTCCAGTCAGTATAAAAAATCAAGGCTCAGCAGTAAAGACACTTGCTGCCAACCCTAATGACCCGAGTTCAATCCCAAGAGCTCACGTGGTGGAAGGAGAGATCTAGTTCCTGCAGGCTGTCATCTGATACAAACACACACAGAGACACACACAGTGGTGTACATGTGCACCCCCCCAGTAAGTAAAGAAATTTACTTTTTAAAAAGTGTAGGCAGTGCAGGAGGCTGGCCCCCTGAACCTTAATTATGGCCTCAAGCCCCTTGTAGCAGACTCAACGGAGGAAGCAGCACTGAAGGTGAGCCTCGTGCCAGATGGAATGTGCCACCTAGACAGAAGTAGAGAAGAGCAGAGAGAGAAGTGTTAAGTTAACAAGAGGCCCAAATTGGACATTCCCCTTGAAGAGAGGGTCCCAGGAGCAATGGAGCAAAAAGTGTTCTTTCTGATTTCATTGTCTTCATGCTCCTTGGAAAGCTGGCCACCGTAGAGCTCTGTCTCACACAGACTGAACGAAGGTATGGCCAGAATTTTAGAGCAAGCGCTTCCATACGCTGGGCCTTTCTTTAGAGTCATAGATCAGTGGTTACTACTGATGCTCTCCTGGAGTTGGAGCATCGTTCCTCACAAGGATGACAAACAGGCCCTCTCTAGGACACAGGAGAGAAATGATGAGGAATACATTTCAGAATAAGGGGAACCATTAGCCCCTAGGCTAAAGGAGTTCCCTTTAGCCTAGTGCCATTCTAGGTGCAAAAGACAACCTTGGGGAAAAAAAGAAAAGAAAAACCAGAATGTCATCAGATCATCAGGAATCTCAGCAGCTTGACTGAATCCTAACAGGAAGCAGGATCTCAATGGTCCAATTCTGATCACCCAATCTCCTTAAAGTTGTAGCCCAAAGCCAGTGGGATGTTGCAGTGGGAAAAGGCACTTGCCACCCAAGTCTGATGGTCTGAGTTCAATCCCAGAGCTCATATAAAGATGGAAGGAGAGGGGGCTGGAGAGATGGCTCAGTGGTTAAGAGCAATGTCTGTTCTTCCAGAGGTCCTGAGTTCAATTCCCAGCAACTACATGGTGGCTCACAACCATCTGTACTAGGATCTGATGCCCTTTTCTGACATTCAGATGTACATGCAGATAGAACACTCATATACATAAAATAAATAATAAATCTTTAAAAAATTTATTTAAAAAAAGAGATGGAAGGAGAAAAGTGACTCATTAAAAGTGTCCTCTGAAGCTGGGCACAATGGCGCTTGCCAGTAATCTCAGTACTTAGGGAAGCAGAGGCAGGTAGGTCCCTGTGATTCCAGGCCACACTGGTCTACAGAGTGAGTTCCAGAATGGCCAGAACTACACAGAGAAACCCTGTCTCAACAACAAAACAAAACAAAACAAAACAAAACAAAAATAAAATAAAATAAAATAAAATAAAATAAAATAAAATAAAATAAAATAAAATAAAATAAAATAAAAACAGGAGGAGGGGAAGGAAGAAGAAAGGTTATTTCTACCTGGAAAAGGGTTCAAGTGTGCTTCTCTCTTGCAGGGAGTTTCCAGATCACCCAGGAGTGCAGTGGGACACAGAGCTTGTGGCCAGCACCCTCCTTCAACACATAAATGTCAATGACATCAACCTGGTAAGGGAACGCCTCTCCGAATGGAAAGCCTGAGGTCTCCATCCTGTCACTTCTGCTCCCGCTACTTGACTTGTGGGCGCTTCCCACTCCCAGCCCTGCTCCAAGCCCACCTAAGAGGCTGTCTGCTAAACCCACTGAAGAGCAGGTGCGCTTTTCCGTTCCCTCTGATCTTCTGGATGACTGAGGGAGCAAGTTCTCAACCCTCGTTCCGAGAAGAACATTTTCTAACCCTGCCCTGCTCCCCCACCTTTCTCTTGCCTCCTGAAAATTCAGAAAACCCCAGGAGTCTGCACAAGACTGTCACTGCCACAGAGCTCCTCACACCAAGTGGGTTCACATTTCATCCTCACCTTGAAGACAAGTTGTAAATGTTACAATTCTCATTTGATCCAGGGTCAGCGACTTTCAGAGACATACAAGGGGTGCAGGGGCGTCTAGGGATTTCACCCAGAGCTTTGAATATGATAAAGCCCCAGGTGTATTAATAAGTGGCATTTTCAACTCTGAAGCTATGATGTTTAAATCTCTGTTTCGTTTTTTTGTTTGTCTGAGATATACGGTCACACTGTGTAGACCAGGCTGGCTTTGAAACTCACAGGGATTGGTCTGCCTGTGCCTCTGAAATGCTGGGATTGAAGGGATGGCCACCACGCCCAGATAGCCTCCATTTCTTTGAAAATATTTTAAAAAAAAAAAAATGAAGATAAATTTAATTTTTTATTTTTTAAAATATATTCATTTTTATGTACATTTGCTGTTTGCCATATACATATGTCTGTGCGAGCGAATAGGATCCACTGGAATTTGAGTTACAGACTGGACGGTTGTGACCAGCCGTGTGGGTGCCGGGAATTGAACCAGGGACCTCTGAAAGAGCAGCCAGTGCTCATGTTCTTAACCACTGAGCCGTCTCTCCAGCCCCTGATGATAAATTCATACTCACTTTATGAAAACTTCTCAGTCACCGTTACAATAGAGAAGTAATGGAGTAATGTTTGCTTGTAAAAGTGAACAAAGCCATCTCAGCTCTCTGTGCAGCCCTGGCTATCAGGAACTCTGTGTAGGCCAGGCTGACCTGAACCACAAAAGTCCTCCTGCTTCTGCCTCTGAATGCTGCCATTAAAGTCCATTTTAAAGCTACCAAGGTTTTCTTTCCAAAGCTCAAAGTAATCAAAATAGTAATTCTTCATAGGCTAATAGCTAAACTTTGACTGTTCAAAGCCCACCTCATTGACTGAGTTTTGTTAAAGGGCAGAGCATACTGACTGAGAAGCAGATAGGGCTTTTCTGTCAATGAGACGTTCATTGAGTGAATTGACACATTAGACCTTTTTTCAAGACTCCTTTTTTTGTCATGTGTATGTGTGAGCCTATGTATATGTGCACTATGAATGTGTAGGAGTTTATGGAGGCCAGAAAAGGGAGTTGGGTCCCCTGGAACTAGAGTTATGGGTGGTCGTGAGCCACTGTGTGGGTGCTAAGAATAGACCCTGGGTCATCTGGAAGAGCAGTATGCACTCTTAGCCACTGAGCCATCATTTAGCCTCAGCACCCTGCTTTCTCGCGGTAGTGGCTTTCTTGGGACTAGCCCCAATCCTGGTCCTCACCATGGAGCAGTAGAGCTGTTGGCCATACCACTCACTCCATTTGTAGGGGATTTCATCATTTCAAAATCTGGGAGCCATGGCCTTTCTTGATCTGGCCCTTACATCCTGAACACGGTGAATAGGCTTTTTCCTCATTGAGGGGCAGCAGCTGGGGGTGGTGAGGACCCTGAGCAGAGTGTAGGATGACAGGCATGAGCTGCGTATCCCGTTTCTCTCTTCTTCCACCTTCAAAGAAATCATGCCAGTTTCTGCTTCTTGTCATGGGACCCTTTCCTCTGAGCTTCCTGTGCCCCATTTAAGGACCACCATGATTATATTGAACCCACCTGCCTGTCTGGAATAGCCTCTCTGGGATTAGCCTCTCTGGGATTAAAGGCATGCACCACCACCGCCTAGCTAGAAAAACTGCTTCTTAGTTTAACAAAAGGGAACATTTATCCCGGCCATAAAGGCCTTCTCTTTGTCATCATGAGACTATCTAGGGGATTCCCTGAATTGACACTAATGCTCCATGATGCTCCTGAAAAAGAGACCCAGCTCTCATGGTAGCCAGGGCCATTCCAGTGTAAATAGAAAGACTAAGTGTGGTGAGTCGGTCCAGGTGTATACTCCATCACCTGGAAGGTAGAGGCATGGAGACCAAGAGTTTAAGGCCAGCCTCAGCTATGTTGAGTTCCAGGCAAGGCTGAGGTGTATGAGACATCTCCAAAACAGTTATAATCACAAAAGAAATAGAGCAAGAGACTCTTTTCCCAGAGTACTCCAGTTCCAGTCCCTTCATCTGCGCCAGGGCACCTTCTGCCCTTCAGGACGGCCCTTCTCTTCCCTCTAACCAACCATCCCTAGTCCCTTTCCTGAGTCCTTGTTTTCTTATGTTTCTTTTATTATTCACGTTATTTGTGTGTCTGTGTTGCGTGGGGGTGCACATACAGGACAATATGCCTTTGGAGGTCAGAGGACAACTTGCAGGAGTCAATTCTTTCAACTGTATGTGGGTTTCTGAGGTCATCAGGCTGGGCAGCAAACAGCTTACCTACCGAGCGATCTCTGTGGGGCCACACTATATATTCTGTTGTTGTTATTCAAACTGTAGAGCTGAGCACATGCATATGATCCCAGCCCTTGGGAAGTAGAAGCAAACAGGACAGGAGTTGAAGGTTATTGTTGACTACATAGTGGGTTCTAGACTAGCCTGACCTATACGAGAGACCCTAACTCACCCCATCCCCACCCAAAAATTAAGCTGTCATTGATTTTTCTTTAATCCATCTATGCAGAAATGAAATGTTAGAACCTAGACAAAACTTATAGACGAAGACATCTGTGCAAACGGAAGCGGAAGCAGCCTAAGATAGATCTCTGTGAGCTTGTCTTCAGGGCGCTGTACTTGTGGCATGGCATGAGGAAAGGAACTGCAGCAAAGCAGGTTGCATCTACCTGAACAATTCCTATGCAGCAGCCAGCCAAGAAAACGAATGTGCTGATACGTGGCCGGCAGAGAAGAAACAACTATTGATTGAGACAGGTTCTCATGTGTCCCAGGCTGGCCTCAAACTCACTGTGGCTCAAAGGATGACCGTAAACTTCTGATCCTTGTTCCTCTTCCTCCCGGGAACTGGGATTTCATGCGTGCGCCACCACATACACTCAGACATTGCTAAGGAACAAGCCCTGGATTTCATGCATGCGTGGCAAGCACTCTCCCATGTAAGCCGCACCCCAGCCTAGAGCAGAGGCGTCCTGAGGCCTGGAGACATTGAGGTCAGAAAAGCCCGTGTTAGAAACAATCAGACAGAAGGCAGGCATGATGTTGTGTGTTTATGGTCCCAGTACTAGGGAGACAGAGGCAGGAAGATCCCTGGGGTTCCCCGGCCTGCCAGACTTGCCTGACCAGCAAGCTCTAGGCAAGGGAGAGGCTCTAGCTCAAAAACCAAGGTGGACAGCTCCTGGGGAACACCTGCTATTCTCCCGTGGTCTCCAAGGGAACAGATTCTGAAGACAAGTTTCTGTTTCGGGGCGAATCCCACTCAGGAGCAAGCATGAAGCATGAAACTCACAGCTGCCACACACAGATCTGTCTGCCCACAAGCTACTCAGATGCTCCAAATTTTAAGTTTCAGGGTTCTGCTGTTCCCTTCCCCCAAAGGAATGGTGAAGGCCGCTTTGAAGCGGAGGCGGTGGAGAAGCCATTCAACAGCTCTGAGTGAGCCCTTTCTCCCTGGGTCTGTCCCTGCAGGTGGTGACTTTTGATGCCGAAGGAGTCACTGGTCACAGCAATCACGTTGCTTTATACAGAGCTGTGAGGTACGCATCTCTGGGTGACGGATGTGGGAAAGGGTTTCTCTGTTTGCTCAAGGGTCAGCTACTAAAACACGTCCTGCCCCAGAAACTCACTTTTATGCTACTTCACAGTCATCGCTGCCCTATTCTCACCCACCTCACCATATCCCTTTTTTAAAAAAACATGTATGGTGTTTTGCCTTTGTGGGTACCATCCTGGTTCTCCCTTCCATGAGGTGCCTCCACGAGGGAGGACCTGACATGATGGCTCCCCAGCTTTGTCTTTAAGTTGTGTGCAACTTCAGAAGATGCCAGAGATGATTACTCTCCAATTTGTTTTTTCCACAGACAGTTCATCCTGATTCTTTGACTATGGAATGATGGGAGGCCACACTTCACTCCCCCCTTGTAAAAATCATTTGCTTCCTGGCCAACAGAGTCCACAGATACAGCTATGTGTTGTCAGTTGCCTTAGGTTCATTCATAGTCTAGAAAGACACACCACAGGTTACAGTCAAAGATATGATTTGTGTGTGTGAAGATACACAGAAAAGTGTACATCCCAGAAATGAACTTTTAACCAAATGGTTATTCTGAGGCCTGGGTTGCTGGAAAGCAAGCTAGTAACAGATAGGAACAGGGGGCCCACTTTATTCAAGGTCCACATGGAGCCTTATAAATTCGTACCCAGATATTCACCAGAAAAAGAGTCAGATAAAGTTTGCTACAGAAAAACCAAGAGAACCTCAACAGACTAGGTAGGGCCCTTGATGGGGCACTTGGCTAGTTTCATCCCTGCTTTTTTTTTTTTTTTGTTTTGTTTTGTTTCATTTTGTCTTATTTTGTCAGCTTGACACAAGCTGGGGTCATGTGGGAAGAGGGAATGTCAATTAAGAAAAGGCTGCCAAGCCGGCCAGGTAGCACACGCCTATTAATCCCAGCACTCGGCAGAGGCAGGCAGATCTCTGTGAGTTTGAGGCCAACCTGGTCTATAAATCAAGTCCAGGACAGCCATGGCTGTCTCCAAACCATCAAGTTGGGCTGTAGGCAAGTCTGTGGGGCATTTTCTTGTTTGATGATGCGGGAGGGTCCAGCCAGCTGTGGGTGGTGGCCTCTGGCCAGGTGGTCCTGAGGTGTTGAAGAAAGCAGGCCAGTGAGCAGCACCCCTCCATGGCCTGGGCTTCAGTCCCTACCTCCAGCTTCCTTCTTGAGTCCCTGCCTCGACTTCCCACAGGGATAGACTGTGACCTGGACTTCTAAGGTGGAATAAACCCTTTTCTCCCAGAGTTGTTTTTGGTTACTGTCCTTATCACAGCAACAGAAAGCTAACCAGGACACTAACCAGTTTTAAGAGAAATAACTTGAGGGTAATTATCCTCATCTCTAATGGGCAAAACTTGGGGCCAGATTGTTCCTAAGCCATAGACCGACTTCTGGATCGAGCTGTATGGGAGTAAAATGCCCACTCTTGCTCCCTCCAGAGTCAGGCACCCTGTACATTCAGATGTTGATTCATGCATAGAAACCAGCGGGCGCCTGTGTGCTTGGCTGGGGCGTGGGCTGAGGGCTCTGGCTCTGAGGGTCCCTCCTGTTTACACAGAGGAGCAGGTGACTCAGACCCTCTCTAATGCTTGTCCTGCACATCCTCCAGGGCCCTGCACTCAGAAGGGAGGCTTCCTAAAGGTAAGGAAGGCTTGCTGCTGTTTTGAGTGTTTGTTTGTTTGTTTGTTTGTTTGCAAATAAACACCAGTTACTACCTCTCTGAGAAACTTACCAAGGAAATTTGCAAATATTGTCAGCCTTCAGTATCTATGGATTTCTGTGTATCTATGGACTTAACACCATGGACCAAAATTATTCAGGGGAATGGGCTCCCCAGTTTAGAGCACTTTCTGCTCCTGCAAAGGACCTGGGTTCACTTCCCAGCACCCATATCAGGCATATTACAACCTATAATTCCAATTCCAGGGAAGTCAGACACCCTGTGCACGAATGTGGTGCATATAGCCCTTTTAGGCACACACGCACACGTGCACACACACACACACAAATAAAAATATATTTAAATATGCAAGGAGAAAAAAAGTGGCACCTGCACTGAACATGCAGGTTCTTTTCTCCTTCTTAGTCCCCAGACAATGTAACATAGCAACTATGTCCATGGCATCTGCTCATATTAGAAATTATAAGTAACCTAGAGATGATTTAATGTATATAAGAGGTTGTGGGCAGGTTCCGTGTAGACACTGGGTGGTTTTATGTGAGAGACCTGAGCATGCATAATTGAAGTCTTTGTGGTGGTCCTCGAACAGCACCACTGGGGACTGAAGGACGCCTGTGCACAGAGCAGCCCTAGGCTGTGCAGGGTGGGCCACTCTCCCTGACTCAGCCAGGTGTGCGTGGCGGCTTCAGCCTGTATCCATTGCTGCGCCTCATTTAGTTTCTGCACAGGCAGGTAGCTCTTTTCCACTGGTAGTACTTTGTTAGACCGCCCAAACTCCCCTCGAATCACCTACCTCATCACTGAGGTTCTGAGTGTCTCCTGGTTCCTGAGAGATTGATGTGCTTGAACCAGTAACACGTTCTAACTCCCATGAAGCACAGGACCCCACTGGCCATTGGCTTCCTGGTGTCCTACTGCAAGTTCTAGGCTGGCCTGCATCACAAGGGTGACATGAGATCAGAGAGGGAAACGTAGGTGATGTGTGCTGTCTTCAAGGCTGTGAGGCCTTAGGACCACTGCTGGTTTCCACTTGGCTCTTCTGTCTGCCATATGAGATGGGCAGTCCCTACACTGTCAACACCGCTCTATCAACCAGGAAGGCACACTCCAGAGCAGCAAAGGGACTTCCCATGCCACAAGTTTTTCAGAGATGAGGTCTTACTCTGAAGCCCAGGCTGGCCTGAAACTTGCTATGTAACCCAGGCTGCTTGGAGGCAGTCCACCTGCCTTCCAAGTGCTAGGATTACAGATGAGAACCACCACACCCAGTGCCTGATGGCAGAGCAGAGCTGGACTGAGTCTCCAGCCTCCCAGCTCAGAAATCTCTGTCTCCATCGTCCCTCCTCCCTGTCTAGCAAACCTGTGCTCTTTCAAGGACACTCACAGTAGAGTTTCTGCTGCCTGGCACTGTTCCCATGTGGGAGAATCCTGGTCAAAGAGCAAGTCTGGTGCCACAAGGCACCTGGCAGCTGAAGAGCAAGCCCCCTGCCTGCCTGTACCGGGAGATGGGGGAGGTGCCTGGGGAAACCCCTGGCTGAGAGCAGCAATCAACCTGCCGTCCTTCCTTGCCCAGGGTGTTCTGTACTCACGCTCCAGTCTGTGAATGTACTTCGGAAGTACGTCTACCTCCTAGATCTGCCCTGGTCGCTCCTGTCACCCCAGGATGTCCTCTTCATGCTCACCAGCCAAGAAGTGGCCCAGGCCAAGGTAAGGACTGTACTTCCTAGACACTGCACTGTGAACCAGCCTCAGCTCCCTTGGCTGCTCTAAGCCCTGCTACCCACAACACACTCTCCTCCACAGGGACCAGCCCTGCCCCAGGCGCCAGATCATTCCAGCTACACCTGACAGGTGTACACTGTTAATGACTTGAGCGTTTTTTTCCCTGATTATACAAATTTTAAGTAAATAAATGGTACATGCTCATTTTAGGAAACTCAGAAATACATAACAGCATCAGTAAAATGAAACTAAGGTGCTGGAGCGGCGGCTCAGTGGTCAGGAGGCATTTGCTGCTCTTGGGTTCGGTTTCCTGCACCCTCACTGAGCCGCCTACAACCATCTATGACTCCAGTTCCAGGGGCTCCGTCGCCCTCCCCTGGCCTCCATGGGTACTGCACATAAGGGTGCACACACGTGCTCAAACACAGAAAGAGCTTAGCGGGGCAGGTAACTCAGAATCATTAGGGCTGGGGCTGGGGGCTGGGGGTTGAGATGCCTACCCTGCAAGAAGGGAAGCGCTGCAAATATCAGCTCCAGAGCAAGTCCATCACTGGCCCTCTTTGATTCTTCCAGAAAGCCATGTCCTGCCACCACAGTCAGCTCGTCTGGTTCCGCCACCTCTACGTCCTCTTCTCTAGGTACATGAGAATCAACTCCCTGAACTTCCTCTGAAGCGTCAGAAGAGTTTTCAGATCTTCAGAACAAAAGGGGAAAGCAGAAGTCCTGGGCCAGGCTCTGGGCAGACTTACCTCCTTGACGCAGGGAGACCCCGGCCGAGCAGCCACTGAGGAAAAAGGCCAGCCTGGTCTACATAGTGAGCTCCAGGACAACCAGAACTCACAAAGAAAGACCCTATCTGAATACGTATGCACATATATATTCTGATAGTGAAATATTGAACCAATGCAAAAAAGTTCTTTTGTACTGAAGTTAGGCGTAGGTGTAGTGGCGCACGCCTCTCGTCCCCGCATCCAGAAAGCAGGCGCAGGCGGATCTCTCTACCTTAGGTTTGTGGCCAGCCTGGTCTACAGAGTGAGCTCTGGGACAGCCAGGGCTACACAGAGAGACCCTTAAAAAAATTAACCTCAAGTAAATAAATTATGGATATTTTAATAGAACAGATTGTGATAAAACTACTTTTAAATAAAGCAATATGCCCACAAGTAAAAATCTATGTGACAAAATCAAGATAATGAATAAACAATTTTCTTTTTAAAGATTTATTATTTATTTATTTATTTATTTATTTATTTATTTATTTATTTATGCAGCATTCTGCCTACACACCAGAAGGCGGCACCAGATCTTATTATAGATGGTTGTGAGCCACCATGTGGTTGCTGGGAATTGAACTCAAGACCTTTGGAAGAGCAGCCAGTGCTCTTAACCTCTGAGCCATCTCTCCAGCCCCATAAACAATTTTCTTAATTTGTTTGGGAAAAAGATATGTTTCCATGCCCACGTGTATAAACAGAGGGGTCCCTGTGCCTATGGAGCAGGTCCCAGAAGCAGATTCCTTTTGTGCCGTGTTTTACACTGATCCCTCTGAAAGGCTCACTAGCTGATTACTAATACTATAGAGGTTGAAAGGCTGCAAGTCCAGAACCAAGATCTCTTGGGGCATCCTTATACGCCGTACTAGCCACTCATTCCCCGCTTCTGGATGTGACTAACATCATTGTGACCATTAGGAATATAGGGTGCTTTCAGATAGCTTTAGGGGCCTGCAGCAGAGACGTCCCTGCTTGCCTGTGATCTGCCTTCCTGATGGTCCCACCTCGTATGGGGAAAGTGCCTGTGTATGACTTTCATTGTCCTGCTGCTATAAAACCTCATGGATGGGCTGGAGAGATGGCTCAGTGGTTAAGAGCACTGTCTGTTCTTCCCAAGGTCATGAGTTCAATTCCCAGCAACCACATGGTGGCTAACAACCATCTATAATGTGAACTGATTCCTTCTTCTAGCAGGTGTAAAAGCAAATAGAACACTCATATACATAAAATAAATAAATCTTAAAAAAGAAAACTTCAAAAAAAAAAAAACAAACCTCATGGAACCGGAATAACCTCAGTCTGTATCCTGGGTCATCGGTACATATTTCACTCCAGGATAAACTACCTCACAGCCCCATTGATATGAGAACTGTTACTTTGACCGTTCCTTTTGAAATGTTTATGATATACACACAGCACAACCTATGAAAATTATTTTCAAATCTTAGAGGTTAAAAAGATGTGCAGCATTACAGTGTTTCCGGGTAGCAACTTTTGAGAATTATTTTGTGCCTGTTTGTATTTGTTTGACTATATGGTTCATCAGTTAAGAGGTTGGGAAAGGTAGCTCAGTTGGTAGAGTATTTCCCTGGGTTTGGTTTTCAGCACAGCATAAACGTGTGTGCCAGCACTCGGACCCTGGAGGCAGGAGAATCAGAAATCTAAAGTCATCTTCAACTACATAGCAAATTTGAAACCAGCCCAGGCTAAAGGAGACTCTCTTCAAAAATAAATACTATGTGAACACGTAGGGAGGAATTTCTAATGGTCTTTTTATTTGCTGATTGCCTGGTCGATGCTATTTCTTTACATGAGCATCTTCTGTTGAGTCAGCGCTGCCCAGGCAGTCTCCATTCATGAGCCTCCTTCACCTGAGAGAGTTTTACACAATCCCAGATACACAGGTGTACAAATAAGTACATAAATACATCATTTACTAATAATGATCATAAAGAATTTTTTCTAAATAATTCCTTGGTATACATAGAATTTTACCGTTTGCTGAATACTAAATCTGCATGCTGAGATGGACATGCTCACGTTAAAGAATTAAATTCTGCCTGAGTCCTTGATGCTGCAAGTATCCTGATGATACAGGACCTTCAGTATTTTTCAAAGATGATTGATATTTTGATTGTATAGCCATTAGTGACAGTGCCTATTCGCATAGATACATAATACAAAACAGCAGAGACGTGTTTAAGAACATCTCAGAAATTGATGGAAATCCTGCCCTAATCCCAAGCCAAAAATGATTTCATGATTTTCCTTATGAAAGTCACCAAATCAAACAGCAATATAAACATTTTTTTACATTTGTGTGTGTTTGCGTATGGTGTGGAGGTCAGAGGACAACCTTCAGGAGTTAGTTCTGTCCTCCCGCCATGTAGGTTCCAGGGACAGGACCTTAACCTGCGGAGCCATCTCACTGTTAGATTCAAGCTTCGTGCTAATCAGGCCACATTTATTTGCAGTCTCATAGCTACTGACACTCGTCCTTCCTAAAGAAATTATTACCAATCAAACATTGTGGGGCTTGAAGAGATGGCTCAACAGTTAAGAGCATTTGCTGCTCTTGCAGAGGACTTGGACTTAGATTCCAGCACCCACATAGTGGCTCACAACTGCCTAAAACTGCCATTTTAAGGGAGCCACTGTCCTCTCCTGTCCTTTGTGGGCATCAGGCACATCTGTGGTGCAGATACATAAACGCAGGCAAAACACTTATTTTATACTTATTAAAGAAAAAGCTAAAAAAAAAAAAAAAACAAAAACCCAAACTTTGTAACAATATACTCCAAAGACATACCGATTTGATATATTCATACTCAGTAGAAAAACATTAAGTATTGGTTTTCCATAATGAAAGCACTATATTTCTCCAAGGGTTGTACGGCATGAGGGCATACAGTGGACAGTGCATGTCTTTGTGTTCAGAACAAGGTTGAAGTGGAGTTGCACAATACGAAGGCTGAACCAGAAATAGCCATTATACATTGGGTTTCTGAATGGATTCTGCTTAGTGTGAGTTTTCATTTGCTGTGTCTTCAGAAGGCTCACACACACCCCAGCCCCATGCTCACTCACATCCAGGGTGGACACCCACAGCTTAGAGGCTGGACTCCAGAACGTCACAGTAGAGAGGACACAGCATGGGCAACACGACCCTGACCCACACACTCCCTTCTGGGTTCTGAAAAGCTCAGAAGCTAGTGTCTTCTTGATGCTCAGAGAGCAAAGGACTGGAAATGGAGGGAGGGTGGCTCTTGCGGCCCTCGGGGCAGCCACAGATGTGGCCAAGTGCTGGTACCTTCTAGTGAAGTTAACCCTGGGGCAGCTTATGACAGGAGGAAAGTGCCTTACCTCAAACTGTCCTAAGGCAGCTCTTTCTGCAGCCCCTTACTGGTGGCTGGAGATTTTAATTTCCTAGCACTGGGGAGGCAGAGGTAGGCAGATAACTCTGAGTTCACATAGTTGAGTTCCAAGGATAGCTAGGACTACATAGAGAGACCCTGTCCCCCAAAACAAAAGTCCTCCTCAGGGATCCAAATAGCCAGTTGTCAGTCTATGTGGTAACCAATTTAGGTAGCAGTCCTTGAGGCCTGGAACAGAGGTCAAAATTCCAGGGGTTCCTTCAGGAAGACAACCAGGCTGGGAGGAGAGAAGGAGCCCCACCCCCACACAAAACAACAAAAAATACAACTACTTTTCCCTTTAGCCACTACTCAAGCACACTCAGCTCTCAAAGAAGCAAGACCCAAGAGCCACCAGATAGAAAACAAATGGGGTCTCCTTACCTGAGGAGGCTCAAAAGGGTGGATTCCACTCTGGGAGGGGGTGGACCTCAGTAGAGGAACAAAGAGACTTTATAGTAATGAAAACTCCAAAACTGTTTTCAACAGAGGGATGCTCCGAGCAGTGGCCAGATTAGAAATCTCCAATAGCATAGGGCACAGTGCCGCACAACTTAAATTCCAGCACTTGGAAGGCTGAGGCAGGAGGATCTCTGTGAATTCAAAGCCAGCTGGGTCTACATAAGAGTTCCAAGCCAGCCAAAGCTACATAGTGAGAGCCTCTCCGTGTTAGGGTCCAAAAATCCAAAACAACCCAAGTAGACACAAGAGTCCATGCAAAGCAAAGTCTGTATTTGAATCAGGGAGAAGATGACCCGTCAGGGACAACAGCACAGACTCAGGAGCTGACCAACATCTTTGAGTGTTCGTCTTCCTGTTTAAGCAGGCGACTGTAGTGAGAATTCTGGTCTCTTTAGAAATCTGATTGTTATGTGAAGATGTTTTTTATTTTAATCCTAGGCACTGGGGTGTGGGGCTGCTTTGGATTGCCCACAGCCGTTAACTGTGACCATCTCATGCTCTAGGAAGGGCACAGTTTTTGTCAGCTACAGATAATTCTGGGGACTCTAGAGAGGGCATAAATGGAAGAACATGGAGAGGGCCCGTGCTGGCTGCTGCTCCCCCTGCTGTCCCTCACACTGCTATGTTGACTATTGCTGGATTGCTAGATGAGAAAGGCTGGACTTGCTCCAAGGAGCCCAATGGCCCTAATCTGCAGGAAGTGGTCTAAAAAGAGGTCTATGCTCCCTCTCCCTGCTAACCTTCCTTCTCACCTAGTGCTGGGGAGTTGGAAGAGATTGGGATAAAGCGTGAAAGGTGTAAGAACCCAATAAAATAGCTAAAATAGTACGCCTTCAGGTGACAAAAATTTATTCTACTGGAGCCACTAGTGATGTATCAGGGCCACACAACAGACTTGGGAGCTGAACTGGGGCATGTCCCACCCACTCCCACCTCACCCACCTCCTACCCCAACCAAGCCAGAATGCTAGTTTTTAGGCTTGAAAACCGCAAACTCGTGTGTCAAGTTACAGTTATATTTTCCCACCAGTCAGGATTTAGGGATAAGGGACTTCCTGAGGAGCGTGTCTTTGTGGTACACTTATCCTGTCCTCATCGGTTGGGTTATTCAACTGTGTCAGGGTGACATGCCTAACAGATGTATCTTGATTGCCTACCAGGATATCAGCTACCCACAGACATGTCTCTCTCTGCCAAGCACGATGTCAGTTAACCAGGGAGATCTTGGAAACTTAAACTTTCTTTGTCCCCTATTCAAAATAGCAGTTTTCTTCAAAATGGCTTCAGTTTGGTTCCTTCTTTTGTTTGTTTGTTGTTGTTTTTTTTTTTTTTTTCTTCAAGACAGGGTCTCTCTGTGTAGCCCTTGCTGTCCTGGATACACTCTGTGTAGACCAGGCTGGCCTTGAACTCACAAAGCTCCTCCTGCCTCTGCCTCCTCAAGTGCTGGGATTACAGGTATGAGCCACCTTGCCCAGCTGGTTTGGTTCCTTTTTACATCAAACAAACAAACAAACAAACAAAAAAAGAAAAAGGGAACAGATGGATGGATGGATGGATAGATGGATGGAT